TGTGTGTGTGTGAGAGAGAGAGAGAAAGGAAAGAATCCAGAAGCACATTCTCTCCTGCAGGTGAGTCAGGAGGGGTGTGTGTGTGTGTGTGTGTGAGAGAGAGAGAGAGAGAGAAGGGAAAGAATCCAGAAGCACATTCTCTCCTGCAGGTGAGTCAGGAGGGGTGTGTGTGTGTGTGTGTGTGTGTGTGTGTGTGTGTGTGTGTGAGAGAGAGAGAGAGAGAGACAGAGACAGAGACAGAGAGAGACAGAGAAAGAGAGAAGGGAAAGAATCCAGAAGCACATTCTCTCCTGCAGGTACACAGAGAAAAGGTGGGAAGCCGCACAGGTCCTTTGTCCCTTTATTGCTGCACTTTGCCGGACTCCCCAGCATCCGGAGGGACGCAGATTCCCGTGAGCACTCGCAGGCGGGTGGGCTTCTCGCCTGAGCCGGCCCCGAAGCAAAGCCCACAGTGAGTCCGCAGGGAAGGACGCCGAGCTCAGAGACTCTGGGCACCAAGGCTGGCCTCTCCGACTTTTCCTGCCTTCTCACCCAATCCTACCCCCTCAGAGAAAACAGTAACTGTCTCTGAATCATGCCGATCTGAACGCCCCGGGCGTGGTGGAAAGCTTGGGTAATCGAGGCAGATATACTGGGAGGGTGCGAAAAACCAGACTTCAGTCTCGAGGCTAGGGGTTTGACCCATGATTTCTCCACCCACCGTAAAGATGATCCTGATACAGAAGCTTCCTCGGAGCCCCGTGCGTTTGTGTGGGAGACAGAAGGTGGGAGTGCTCGTAGCCTCTGCTCCAAGGCGAATTAGCCCCTAGAAGGAACTCTGGATGGCCTCGCGCGAAGAGTTTGAATGGGTAGTCCAGTCCCGGCTGGTGTGACTTCATCTTTATCTCCTTTGACAGAAACTGCGTGTTGCGTGAGGCAGTGTGGGTGTCCTCAGAGGTAGCTACCTGAGTTTGCATACTTCCTGGCTGACAGAGCACTCCTGCCCGTGCCTCGGGGCCGGGTGGTGAGGGGCAGTGGGAGGAGTAACCAAGTTTCACTTCCTTGCTGGTTGGAGACTCACAGCCACAGCAGGCTTCTCTCTCAGAGGAGGAGAGAGTGAGGAGCGGTGGGACCCATCTCTCTCTCTTTCTCTCTTTCTGTCTCTCTCTCTCTCTCACTGCCTCTTCCCGTCATAGCACCTGGCAGGGGCTCAGCGGACGTGAGGCGCGCGAATGGGCAGAGCAGAATCCCTAGAAGGGAAGATGAGCGCCCAGGATCCTTCAGATCTGTGGAGCACATCAGACGGAGAAGCTGAGCTGCTCCAGGACTTGGGGTAAGAAAGCAGGTCTTCTTTTCACAGTACTGCTCTGGTGAGCGTTGACTCCCAACCGCCACCCAAATGCTCGCTTTGGTTGATTTTCTTTAGCACCCTGCCATCTCGGGCTTCGCTGCCTTCCACTTCACTCATCTGTGAAGGCATCCTCCTGCTTGGGGCCAATGGCATTTTAAAAGCATACAGTGTTTTCCCAGGTGTGAAAACATGTTAAGGGGAGAAAAGGGGATGAAAATCAAATGTTGGGCATTCTTCGAGACTAGGGACAGAATTGAGATGTGTGAGCTGATGTCGCTTGGTTTCCTGGATATGGATCTGGTTGATGAATAAAAGCACTGTTCAAACGCCTGGGGCTCTAAGCTATTGACCGTAAGAGGGCTGTCTTGCCAGTAAGATAAGCAGAAAGCCTAGCCTGCTGCATGGGAGAGGGACTTTTTCAAAACGAAAGAATGAGGAAGTGTCTGCACTGTCCCATCTGGGTTTCTCTCTCCTGACACCGTGTTTGCGAGCTCTCTCGTTTGTTTGGGAGGCACCACTTGGAGCCTTTTAAATACTAACGAGTCAGGAGGAGGATTACATTTCTGCCTCAAGCAGGTTTTAAGTTGAGGTAGGTGGAGTCACCGTAGTCCTGTCTTTAAGAAGGGACCAGATGAGACAGCCCATCGGGGTATTTAACAAAAGAAGCAAGCATTACACAAGATAGGTGTAGGGGGTTTCCTAGAGAAACTGGACCTTTACCCTGAAGCACCAGAAATATCCAAACGAGGTTGGTTTTGACACCTGTGCTTCACAAGCGACAAGACCAGCGCCTCTTCATAAACAGGACTATCTCCATAGCAGCCCACTGGCATAGAAACTGTGGTCTCCATCTTACAAAGGAAGAAAATGGCACCAAAGGGGTTGAAAAATTTGCCTGTGTCACACATCAACAAATGGCAAAGCTGGGATTTCAACCTGCAAAAGCCTATGTTCTTTGCCCGAGAAAAACTAAAACAGGGATAAAATCTCTGCATTAAGACGGCAGAGATTGTAGCTTTTGGTGTCGTATTACTGTAAAAGTTCTCAATAAAGTCCTGTCTTCAGATTTTAAAATGGAGGTGTCAGAATTGAACTCCACTTTCACAAGGTACACCAGAAATAACAGCTAGAATTTTCTATAAAGTCAACTCCCCTTACTGGGAATTCAGAGTTCTAGGATACCACCGTTCTTCCAGGTTGAACCTCCAAAGAGAGAGGGTAAAATACCCCTGAGCATCCAAATGGGTGTCACGGAGTCCAGGCTAGACCCTTGGGCTCTCACTTATAGCCTTATTAAATTATTAAAGTATAATTCTTTACATGCTTCATTATCAATATTCCCAGCCCATGATCAGCAGGAAGCTCCAAAGGAGAAGAGAAACAAAGGAGGTATTCAATTCTGGTTCTTTAATTAAACCATCCTGTGCCCACATTCTATGCTTGAGTGACGTTGTCACCTCCTTGGATGACAAGGATGAACTAGATGATGTCTCTTCTCTCCACCATATGTCCGTAACAGGAAGCGACTATGGGTAAAACCCACAAGGAAAACAGAATTGTGCCTTCCCTCCGTGGTCAAAGAATGGACGTCCAGTACAACCCAGAAACACCCCAAACAGGTGCATTTATGTCCAGACTTCTGTATTTCAGAGGGCTGGGAAATTTACTATTACTAAACATTTGGGGATGGTTTCCATAACAACAGACAAGCTACAATGATCTGGAAAAATTGCTCTACGATGCAGGTTCTCAACCTTAGCTGTACGCTGGTGTACACAAAGAGTTTTTAAAAATTCCTGTCCAGGCCACATGCCAGACAAATGACATTAGTATCTTGGGAGTGAGTGTTGTCTTGTTACACTCCCCAAGTGATTCTGGGGAGAGACCAAGGTTGGGAGTCACTGCATAGAATATAAATCCATCAGAAGTGCTGAGAAAAATGTGGCTTTATTTTTCATTTATTCGGTATGTCCCTGAATCTTAAAGCCATTCATAAATGTTGACATTTTGTTTGTTGGTTTGGAGGCAGTTTACTTAACAATTTTATTGAGGTGTACTTTATAGATAAAACTCACTCATTTCAAGTGTACAAATCCACAATTTCTAGTGACTTTAAAGAGTGGTTCAGACATCACCGTAAATCAATTTTAGAACATTTTCATCCCCCCGGTAAGAACCTTCAGTTCAGCATGGTTTTTTTAAGTATACTCAATGGGGTGCTGATAAACCCCTTGGACGAGGGGTGATTTCTAGAGTCTGCTTGTTTGCTTGGTATAAATACTTCTACCATGGGCAATTTCAAGCTGCGAAAGGTTTGACAACCTACCTGTAAAATTCCTGAAATTTAATAATGGACTTGAGCAAGTATTAGTTGCCCCGTCAGGTCATTGCTGTCATACCTTTTGCAGGTGATAATATCTGAGAGAACTTGAAAATGACCAGTTGCCCCTGGCAGAATTCTGAACATAAATGAAACTTTTTCTTTGAAAATTTGTCACCGGTTAGGTACTATCTGTACCAAAACTTCAGCTTAATTCAGTTTTTAAAAAGCACCATAAAAACAAAATGATTTCATGTAATTGATAAATAATAGGTGGCTGGTTTCAATGACTTAATTTTAAAATTATTTTAAATATATTACTTGAGTTGTTAGGTAGATTCTGATGTTTGTATTTTGGGTAGATATAAACAGATAATGTGGTGGTTAGAGAGATATCACACATCCTTGTTCTTTGGTCCCTATTTTTATTCTGGCTCGGGAATATGTAAGGTTTTGAAAATTAAAACCTGAGCTGTAGCAAATTAATCCATCACTTGCTTTTCTAGGACACACATGGCTTACTCAGAGCATCAGTTTATCCTTTTCTAAAGTACCTAAATCAAGCAACTCAGATGCATTTCTGAGTCTCATTTATAAAGCCTCAATCTAAAAACACTTATTTTCTGGGGTGCCTGGGTGGCTCAGTAGGTTAAGCATCTGCCTTTGGCTGAGGTCATGATCCCAGAGTCCTGGA